TTACTTATATACTCTAGGTAATCCAAAGGATATATTACGGAGTCATTATAGTAAATTAATTAGTGCTATTAGTGTGGATCTTTGCAATATAAGTGCTTTAATGTATGCTAAAGGCCTAATACCTCAACAAACTAAAGAAGATATGCTTGTATTAGGAGTAACTGACAGTAAAAAAGCCAATAACCTTGTGCATGTCATTGAGCAACATTTGGAATCCTGTCTTACTCCAGAGAAAGCTAAGCAGTATTTTATTGCTATATGTCTTGTGTTAATAAACAAACAACATCATACACTAACAGATATTGCAACTTCTATGTTACATCAAATAGGTGAGTGTGTATGTGTGTAATATTATCACATTATTTTATCAGTGATGAGCAATAATTATAGATCTATAGTCATTATATAATCTCAATACATTAGGTCAGTCTATACCTGATGATGCCACATCAATTTGTTCAATACCTGATAATGTTCAAAAATATGCTGACATTATGAAACAAAATTACAAACACCAAGATGTTGTTTCTACAGACTGGCCACCTAGAATTGGAAGAGATTTTTTTGGAAGACTAGCATTAGTAGAAAAACAAGACTCCTGTACACAAACAAAATCAGCTTGGCATCTGCTAAGAGGACAAGTTGATGAAACAGTTAAACTAGCTGAAAATAAAAAGATAAGTCTTGAAGATGTCATCGAACCCACTGATAATTCTCTATCTCTTAGAGTAGTAATAGATGGTCCTCCTGGTATTGGCAAGACAACACTCTGTCACAAAATGTTACATATGTGGTCCAATGGAACACTTTTACATCAGAAGTATGACTTGGTACTTTACTGTCCTTTAAGAAATAGCAAGATAGCTGAAGCTACTACAATAGCTGACCTGTTTGAATATGGACGTTATGAAGTTCCTGTGGTAGCTGAATGGTTTGAGAAGAGGAATGGAGAAGGATTACTGATCATCTTTGATGGTTGGGATGAACTAAGTGAGCAACTCAGACAGTCTTCATTAGCTGGAAGTATCATTTATAGAAAGCAGTTAGGCGACTGTTCCACAATTGTTACCTCTCGTAGCTATGCCTCCGCTTTACTTTTAAAAATACCTAATCTCAGCAGACATGTTCAGGTCATTGGGTTTTCTGAGAAAGAAATATCAACTGTTATTATACAAGCAATTCAAAAAAATTCAGAGGTAGCACAATATCTCATTGAGCTTTATATAAACTATCCATGTATGACTGATGAGAGAGATGAAGATTGTAATGATAGTGACACTGACACTAGTACTGATGAAGATATTTGCGATAGTCTCTGTAATCAGAGTGGTAGTAGTAGTAGTAGTGAAATTGATAGTAGTGACAATACTGTTGCAATTCAAGAATCAGAGCAATTAGATCTAGCAGATGAGAATTCACAACTAGCTTTAAAGCTCATTGATGATCTTAAAGTACGAGATGACGTTCGATCATTATGTTATGTACCACTAGTTTGTTCCATGGTTATCTTGGTTTATTGTAAGGAAGGACACTTACCAACAACACTCACTCAACTTTACGAGAACTTTATCCTACAAACTATAAGAAGACATGCTAAAAAGTGCGATGCAAGCATTAAACCATGTACTTTAGCCAGTCTTTCTTTATTACCAGTACAATTTGCTAAGCCTTTTCAAAAGATGTGTCAGTTAGCTTATACTAACCTGGCAAATACAACAATGACATTCTCGTCACATCAACTACATCAGCAATCATTGAATGAAGCAAACTATCTTGGATTGATGTCAACATTCATAGATTATGGTGAGGAAAAGTATCAGTTCCTTCACTTAAGTATACAGGAATTTCTAGCTGCATGGTGGATAGCTAAGCATGAGGGCAAGACCGAGGAAGTGTTTATGAATCACTTTGATGATGATCACTTTCGAATGTGTCTGAGGTTTGTGGCAGGTCTAACTCACCTTGAACATAAGAGCTATCAACAGTGTTTTAATAAACAACAGCTTGAATTGCATTGTAAAAATATTTTACTTGGATACCAAACTTATGATCTCCATGGGTTCTGTCAAAATCTTGACATTGTTCTTGGTCGGCCTCATTATACAACTGATAATTTTGACAATGTTGCAGTTCTTCTCTTCCAACTTCTGTACGAAGCACAGAACACAGAATTATGTCAAATATTAGCAAAATCGATCAAAAACCAATCATTGTGCCTTCGTTCATCATTATCATTGTTTGACTGGTTGTGCCTTGGTTACTTTTTAAAAAATTCAAAAATCACCTGGAACCACTTACACCTGCAGAATGTTGGTGACCAGTCACTATCAGCCTTCACTGCTGGACTATCTAGCAATAACTCACTACAGACCCAGTGTAAAAGACTGGAGGCAAGATTATACAAGCCCTTTACTCGTAAATCATTGAATAAATTTGTACACCTATCACTTCTAGAAAATACCCAGGAGTGCTACTGTGAATTAGAATATGATCAATGTGTTCCCTACGTTATGTTGTTAAGGTTTGCTTGTTTGTCTCAATTGAAGATAGTGCACATAAGAATGAATAAAACAACATATGACAATAGATACGATGTAGATGACAGTAGCATTCAAAGATTTATAGCAGAAAATATGGCACTGCAAGAACTAAATATGGAGTTTTTTGTAGAGCCTACAATACATCTAAAAAATACCATCATCAGTGTGATTAGAGGAGTAACAAAAAATAAAAGATTGAAATCATTTTTAATAAAGCATGTTTGTAGTGAATATCCATTCCATTTCCATCTACCTGGTGAACTTATACAGCAACTATTCAAAGATAACAACACATTGCAAGCTCTTTCACTAGATACACCATTTTTTCACATAACATCTTTGAATATATTAGAAGTGAATATGCCACTGACAGCTTTAAAAATAAATTGTTGTGGACTGATGACATCTCTCCTTCCACATACAAATGGATTGAAAAGTCTGATACTCAAGGAACTATATCTACTACCATATATTCTGTTTCTCTCTCATCCCAGGCTGCATACACTGTCTATACGTTTAGATACAGCTGAGAGTGCTCTTGAACTATTTGCTTTTCTACAAACCAATACTACACTCAAAGCTCTGGGAATAACCCTAGATCTGGATGAGGAGAATGATGATGTAGGCACGAGTCTAACAAATATGTTGAAGCAAAACAAAAATTTGAGATGCATTGATATAGGAGTATTATCCTCTCCCAGCTTATTCGTGTCCTCACTAGCAGATGGTATTCAGCACAACTCCTGTCTGCACCAATTAAGCATAATATTTCACCTGCCTAATAATGAAAATGAGCTATTAAACAATCTTTTAAAATCTATCTCTCAAAATAACAATCTCATTGAGCTTCAAATAAGCATTTCTTCACATTTGCATGACAGCAGCTGCACATTCGAAGACCACAAAAAAGTAGTAGCATCATG